GCTTATAAGTTTCCGTTCATATTTATCCCGCTTCTTTCTGGGGATAATTTGCGGTGCATTGCATTCAACTGCGGAATAGATTCCGCAAAAAAGTGGAAATACCAATATATTGGTAAGTTCAAAGTACTTATATAAGGCATATCCCGATCAATTATAAAGTTCAAAGAAGTAAATTTTTTTTATATCTTTATCACTGTTAATTTGAATATACGTGATACTTCGCTTCAACAACCAATGCCGAGAAATCAACATTCTTAAAGCGCTTACGCCCAGAAAGTGTGGAACCCTTGTGGACAGTGATGCCTAAATTATCCACTGAAAATTCTCAGCCAAAAGCTACTCCAAACATGGGAAATACAAAAATATTAGGTCATTACTTGATGATGCTGGCGGTCTTGTTCTTAGCGAAGAATCCAAGAGAAGGTCTTAATGCTGGTCAATCCTACTTTGAAGGCACCACAGATTATTGGTATATTATATGCAGCACATAGGCACTCTACGTTCGCCTTGAGGTTTATCATTGGAGGAGCAGGAGGTTGGAGTGTTGTTGAAGGAGAAAAATTGTATGAATAGGGGAGACGTTATTCTCACCGCTCGTTAGAAATGGCATGATTATCCTCGTAAAGATAGCGATGGGCTTGATTTGCCCATGTTCCAATATCCAGTCAACGTTACAGAACATTACGATGATGACCGCTATCCAAGTAAGGGAGCTCCTGTTTCACCATCGAAGTATCCATGGGGTGATGTTCAGAAATATCTTAATTGTGTGAAGGGAGACTACACTATTTATACGTATGAGCCTCAAGTTGAAAAAGGAGAGCCACTATCGACGATTATTGGTAGCCAGGCTGAGAGGGTTGCAGCTGGTAATCTTCTCCTCTGCATCAGGAGACAAGTCATTTGTTTATCATGTATATGGGTAAGAGACATACTATAATTACGGAACATGACGGCAAAGAGACATACTATAATTACGGAACATGACGGCAAAGAGACCATTTTACAATGGGAACAGAGTGATACATTCTGTAGTCCATCTTGGAGAAAATTCAGACTTGTGAATGAAAGAGATGAAACTGCTTATCTCATCAGTTTCTCTGACTCACCATTACTCAAGAATTTAGACATATACCAATCTAAATAGTATAATCACTATATATTACTTTTAATGTTTAGTTGTTATGTATTTCTTTAATTTTATGTTGGAATATAAAGTGGGGAAGTATCTTCCGGACCAA